TTTAAAATTTGAAAATTAAAAATTTGGTTTTAAAAAAACAAAAAAATTAAAAAATTTGCCCGCGTTCTTCAAATAAGTAACAGGAAAAACTTGCTTTTTATTGTTGGTGGGGGTTTTATTTTAACCCTTAACCCAACAAAAAAAAGGGGGAAGTTTTCCCCATAAAAAAAAGGAAAAAACGGGGGGGTTTTCCCCAGGGCCCAAAAAAAAAAGAAGGGGGTTGGGAAAAAACAAAAAATGGTTTTTTAAAGGGGGGGGGGCCCCTTATATTTTAAAAGTTTTCCCGAATGGATTCCCCGAGTTCTTGGAGGATTTTGTAGGCCCCCCCTCCTTCCCCCAGAACAACTTTAGGTTCCCGGGGCTTCCCCCCCGGGAGGGGGTTTATCCCGACCCGGCCCTTGCCCCCCGTTTGGGGGGGTTTCTTTGAAAGTTCCCCCCCACCCTGTGGGCCCCGGCCCAGGCCCATTCGGTACCCGGCCAGGAGGAGGACGTTTGGGGGGGGGGGGGGGGGCGAGGTGAGGGCAAAGGGTGGGTTTTTGCGCGTGCGGCGGAGGTTCACGAGAAAAGGAAATACAAACGGAAAAAAAGAGGGCAACTCTGTACCGCAACAGGGAACGCAAACGAGGACCCTCTCTACCGACATCATGGCAGTCCTGCTTGCATGTGTGTACCTTGGCCATGAGCATCTTCTGCGCCACGCTCTCCGCCGTGGTCTCCATGTGCACGCCCGCGGGCCCGGCGTCGCCCCCGGCGGCCGGCGCCTTCTGGACCGTACCAAACCCGCCGGAGATCACGTTGAAGATGTTCCGGTTCATGGCCTGGCACATGATCTGCGTGAGGATCGCGCCGCTGGAGCCGATCAGGGCGCCGACGATGGCCAGCAGGTCGTTGTTGAGCATGAAGCCCTCGGCGCAGAGCGCCCACCCGCTGTACGAGTTGAGGAGGGTGATCACCACGGGCATGTCGGCGCCGCCTGTTTGCGCGAAAAAATAAATATAGGGAGGAATCGAGAGCAGCGCAAAAACATCCGGGTTCGTCGGGCCGTCAGGGAAACTCACCAGCCTTTGTTGACGTTTATCTCGCGTGAAGCTCCCCTCGTCCATGCATTGTCCATCGGAGACCATCAAGCATCACACGGCAAGAGCAAAGATACACAACATGCGGGCTGTACAATTGCCCCCATGACATGCATAGAGTGAAAAAAAAATGCTAAAAAGAACAACACATAATCAGATTCTTGACATCCTTTCGCTTGGCGACCGGGGCCGCCTTCTCGCAAAAAAACAGGACCCCCCCCGTCCCCCCCATCGCATGCTCCGTCCTCTCGAGGACGCGTGGTCAATGGCCTAACAACAAAAGCTGCAAAACACGATTACCCCCGCTCCGCGATTGGTGATGTGCTAGCCCGGTCCGGTCAAAACCCGGCGCGCCCTGTCTCGGCTTTGTAAGGATGCGAGGTCAATGGCTTAAGGACTACAGCATTCACGCCTATCAGAACACGCCCGCCTCCCTGTCCGGTCTGGTTTTCCGTTCGCCCCTCACCGATGGAGGCGGTAGCGT